GTATCCGGCGGAAGTGAGAACCGTCGGTGTCGGAGGCGAGAGGACGAGAAGCGTTCGCGCCCCGGCTGTACAAACGGCGCCGGCGCGCGATTGTTCTCGCGTAAGGTCGGAAGAAATATTTGAAAGTGCGGGGCGCACGTTCGCGTTTAACAACGCCGGGGAACGAGGTGGAATTCGCCGCTCGCAGTGCGGGTGGTTTCGCGCGTGCACTCGCGCGGCGAGAGAGCGGACGTGACTTGGTTGAGTATATGTGGGCGTCGGGCCCACATCGGCATGCCGATCGGCGTGCACGCTCCGACGACGTGCCCTTGTCTTTGGAGCCGGACGACGAGCGCGGCCGGCCGGTCTATTTGCGTTGCGTACAGTTCTATTTGCTCTCACTTTCTTCCGTGCGGCCGGAACGAAACTGCGCGCGAGCGCGACTCGTGCGTTTCGTATTTACAGCCAGCCAGCCAGCCAGCCAGCCAGTCAGCCGGCTAGCCAGCCAGCCGGCCAGCCTCGCTTGTAACTTTCGTTTTTCTTTATCGTTAGAATGTCAATCGGTCAGCGCTCGAGCACGTGCTTTTTCAGACTGCAGTTGAAAGGAAAGTCGAAAGCAGATTAGCATCGACACAGTCGCGCGCGGGCCTCTATCTCTGAATTTCTCCCACGCGTGTGCCTCCGTCTTATTAAGACGCCGATTATTCCACCCGCCTCTCGGCGGAAGCGAAAGACCGTCCCGTCCCGCGAGATTCTCGGGAACGCGCATCCCCGTGAGAGAACCGTGAGTGACGAAAGTTCGGAGGCTTTCCTCGAGCGTCCTCCTTCAAATCGCTTTTCCGCCGACGGATTAATTACATGGCGGGATCTCTCGAGCATCGCAGGGAGAAAGAGACAGGTAGATAGATAGTGTGTGTGAAAGAGAGAGAGAGAGAGAGAGAGAGAGAGAGAGAGAGAGACGCGAGATGGAGACGGCGTCCGTTCAAATTTTCACTTGAAATTAATCGAGACGATTTCATCGCTGTAATTGAGGGTTTCACTTTTATCGCCGGACGCCATCGCGAGCGCGCGCCGGTTCGCAACTGCGCGGCGCGCGCTCGCGAAAGACGCGCTCAGAGCCTCCGCGATATACTTTTCTACAACGTACCCTGCAACGCGCATATACAACGTATCGCTGCCTTACATGGCCGAGCTAATATGCGCGTCTGTAGGCTCGCGTGTGTGCGTGTCTACAATGCCGGGCATAATTATAACACAGCCACCACGTCGGCGGCGCGGCGCGTTTCGAAAGAGGACCGCTCGCGGTCGCTCGAAAGATCGGCATGCCCTTAATTTATGGATTTGCCCCAGCCTGCAGTGTTGCGATATCCTCTCGCTCTCACATTTTCTTCTGGTCTGGCTGGCTAATGAGACTCCGAGAGCGCCGTCGCTGCCGCGGCCGCCGTAGCCGCGGTCATGTGCAAAAACGGGAAAGCTCGCCTCAGAATGCTAATTAGCCCGGTAGTTACGACGATCTTTACGGAGCGCGCAGGAAACTCTGCGTAGTTTGCCAAAGGCTTTGCCGTTGCCGTCCGCTGACGGGGATTCACCGGAGCGCTCGATGGGCCGACATAATTAAGCAGCACGCGCGTTCGCGCTCGCGCTCGCGCTCGCGCTCGCGCGACAATCGACTTCCTCTTGCGCAACGACGTTGCGGCTGTAAAAAGCGACTCTAACAATCCGCAATCGGATGTTGACCAGCGTTGCCTTAAAGGCTCGTCGAAGGATTCGCGGCGCGGCGCGGCGCGGCGCGGCGGAGCGAAGCCGGTCCGCCACTCGAACGTCGTTTATCGCCGAAGAGTCGCAGAAAGCGGCCGAGAGATTTGCTCCTATTCGATGTATTAGCCTCGCTTTCGCAATTCGGCATTACCGCGGTTTCTCCCGTTGTCTGGTGGTTTCTCGCGCTCTCGGGAGCCGGGTTTCACGTCGACGGCGACGAGACGACGCGCTCGAGATCATCGCCGGCGCGGGAGCGTCGCTCGGTCGCGCGATAACCGACCGTTCTTTTTTTTCCCTTTTGCGCGCGCGACTCGCGCGACTGATCGCGTGCGTATCGTCCGTTCGTGCTCGAGCGAGTCCGATCGCGGGGAAAAAGCGATCGCGAAGCGGTCTTCGTGATAGAAGCTGCGTCATTGGAAACCGACGTTCTTTTCGGCCGCGGTCCTTTCTCGCGGCCCAATAAATCCCCCTCGCGATCGCTCCCGCGGTGAGAAGAAACGCGCATCGCCTGAGACGTTTCTGCTGCCTTCTGCTGCCGTCTCGCTCGCTGTCCCAGTAAGCCTTCTGTTCTGTAACCTTCAGCGGCGGTGTCGTTGTCGTTACATTGTTTCCTCACGTATGTATAATATACGATTGAGAAGCTGAGCGACGACAATGTAACGACAACGACATTGTCGTTGAGAGAGTTACAGCGCAGGCTGCAGAGATCGTGTTGCGCACACGTTTGCCGACTGCTGTCGTTTCTGGATGAGTCTATTGCGCAGGTGTAATCATCAGCTTGTTTTCTTTCTCTCTAAAGCACTGTCGAGACTCGAGGAGAAACGAGTACACCAAGTCGGGACTTGGTGGAATAAAGAGAAATGCGGTGCGGAGAGTGCGGCGGAAAGGAACAGGTCGCGTATGACGATAAAAAGAAAAAACAGCCGAGCCGATTGGCAGCGTGTCGCCAACGACGGACGTACGCGGAATAAGACAGCCCCTGGAAGAGACACCACCGGAGACGACATACCGATCGGGTGATACGCCGTGTCGCGCAAAATTCCGCGGAGGATTCGCGCGGAGAGTTCCGCGAAAAGAGACGTTCCATATTTGCAATCGGTGAAAGCGCCAGGCGAATCGAGCTATTCCGGGAGCACTTAAGCCGTCGATCGTTCGATCGTGCCGATTTCATGGCATCGACTCGAGGCGTTCCGATGGCGCGCACGCACGCACGCATGGGCTGTCTCGAGTTATCTCGAGTTGCCGGCTTGTCGCACCTGCGGGAATCCGAGCACGTCGCTCTCTCACAGGAAAGATCAAGGGGAAACCGACACTGTGTGTGTGTGTGTGTGTGTGTGTGTGTGTGGAGATCGCTCGTGAATAATTAATAAGCGTTTAATTGTCGCGCCGCCGCGTCGACTCGCGGGAAAAAAAGTATCGGAGAAATCGCCGCCGTTGATATCCCCGCGAGTGCGAGCGCGGTGAATTTTTACGCGTTTCTTCGCACGATTCGTGAATTACGCTCGCGGTGTGAATGCAGCGCGCGCGCGTGAGTGAAATCGTCGATTATTAAACGTTCTCGCAAGAAGTTGACAGGCGTCAGACTGCTTATGGGCGTAAGAACGCGCTGATAATTGATGATTGTGCGTTTTTCAACGAGCGCATGTACGTAACCAACGTACGGGGGAGCAGCATTAGTTATGCCGTTTAAGTCACAGCGGCAGTCGTAATCACAAAGATTTTACAGCCGGAGCAAGAATGCTCGTCGTGTCTCCAATCCGAGCGAGTGAGCGACTCCGGGCAGAAATTGCGAGTCGAGCGGCTAGCATGCTCGGCGGCAGTCATAACAATGCACCGGCGTATAATAGACGGAACTTTCACTATCAATCAAGAGAGCGTAATGAGCATGCTCGAAAAAAATGCAAGTCGCCAGGATGCTTCGAAAAAGGAGAAAAAGCGTGGCGAGCCGTAACGAGGTTATAGCCCACCGTAGCCCACCGCCCCCGCGACCTCCACCGCCGTGCGGTTGCGGTTCGTAGGTCTCCCTCCGAGGAGATGCCAGCCTCTGTTTCCCATTCAACAAAAGATTACGTTGCCCAACACGAGCCGCGGCGGTGGGTTCATTAAGGTAACGGACGGTGTCAACAACTGCCTGCCTGCCGTACAATTAATTCTCGCGACTCCGCGCGGGAAAAACCGTCGCAGCGAGTTTGGCGCTCGGCACTTTCCTCGGCCGACCTGGTGCGCCTTTCGCACGAGCGAGGGGGCTTCCCCCGGGAAAAATTCTCGCGGCCATATTCAGAACACCCCACGTCGTGGGCGGACACAATTCACTTTCAGCCGTTGTTAATCACGCAGCCGTCTATGAATTATAAGCGGCTTCACACGCGCTCGCGCTCGCGCGAGCCGCAACAATGGAGATATTATCGAGCTGCTGACTTTCCAGCGTTAACGACGCTTAAAATTTCATGCCGGTCACCACGCGGTGCCACACGCGGCGCAACGAGGAGACGTTTTCGAGACGTCGCGAGCTCGCGATTAACGTACGAAGGTGTGCTGCCGCTTTCTATCTGATGAGGCGCGACGAGAACGCATTGCGGAGCAACGTTAACGCCGATTTTTGAACACAGGTTTTACTCCCGCCGGTTTTACTGCCGCCGATCTCAATCTCGCGCGGAGAAGTCGAACGGCACCAGATACACGCGTATAATAATAATAATAATAATAATAATAATAATAATAATAATAATAATAATAATAATAATAACAACAATAATAAAGCCTGAATACAATTCTGAAGAGAAATCGAAAAGTGACGAGCGTACCGCGCGGCGGAGGCAAAAGAAAGAAATCTACAGGATTCGTTCTTAGAGAAGCAACGAGCGAAGCATCTTTCGCGGATCTCTTGGACGATTCACACACGTACACACGCACATCCACATGCACAGATATCTGTTAGTTCGAACAACTGTTCAACGGTATACGTAGAAACTCCATGTTCGACGCGCAGCGACATATATCAGGAATATGACAACGCTTAATTCATATGCGAATCATCAATCTCTCGAGCTGAGAGTCTCGCTTGTGCGGTACGACATCGAGTCACTTCACACAGTAAGACGAAGAGAAAGATGAAAAAGTAGCACAGACAAGTACAGCGAGCCGAAGTCGACAGCCGAAAAGTCGCCTGCCGTTCTCCAAAAAGATCAAGTGTGTGCGAATCGACCAAGCCAAGACGACGAGCCCCCCCCTGATCCGCCTAACAGAAATAAATCAGCACATACCAGCAATATAATCCTCATGGTGCACGCGTGGTGCGCGACGACGATGGGGGGAGGTGCGACTTGCCGGGGAACGGTCCTCCGAGAGTTTCACTGAGAGAGTGCAGCCGTATAGTACCGTGCTCGGTCCTTTATAACCTATACGAAGGCTTTTGCCTATAGTGGGGGCCCCGTCGAGTAGCGGCTACGTGTCCTCTTCGACACTTGCGACAGCCGCGAATTAGATCCCGGCTGGGCTGGCCCCCCGGGGGGGAACCGACGTGGCCATCATCGGCGAGCCGGGCCGCTCCGCAATTGCCATTGCCAAATTCCTCGCTGAGGAGTCGCCTGTGCATCGTCGCGCGGCCGTCGTCGCGCGGGGTCACGGGGGGGGAGAGGTGACACCCACGGGCCGCTGAAAGGAGCACCACCGGTCGCGGATCGAGCAGGGTCGTGAGAACCGCGTCCACGCGTGCAGCAGACAACGCGCCGTTCCACCTTGCGACCCGTGTCAAATTAGATCCGTCAGTCCGTATATCGAGTGGTACGAGGTGGAAAAGCGGCGAGGGATTACGGTATCCCCGGGCTGTTCGCCCGCTCGGCGATAATTAGCGGGCCGGCGCATTAATTATCGGCCGATTCGATATGTTATGACGTGCCGCGAGTCGCTTCCGTGTGTTGTATCCTATCGTTGTGCATACGCATCCGCCATGAACGCGTGGACATAATGACACACACACACACTCTCTCTCTCTCTCTCTCTCTCTCTCTCTCTCTCTCTCTCTTTCTCTCTCGCGAGAACGGCTGGCCGCCGAGGATTTTTCGCGATGAAATTGCGAGTGGCTGAAGGCCGGAGTTGTGCGCGCGGCTTCGTGCGATCGGCGGTACCTGCTTTTCTACGATCGAGTGATCGTGCAACATTCGACTTCTCCGTGCTTCAGCGCGAGCCGGCGAGCTCGCCGTCGCTCGCGAGGCTCGATTCGCGAAGAGCTGCTATTGTCTAATTACGACGCGGTGCGTGCAGTTAACACCTTTTGCGTGCGAACGCAAGCGCTGCGGCGTAGCGCTGCATCGCTACGAAAGTCTAGATCGAGTGATAGGGGGCCAGATCGAGCAGGGTCGTGAGAAAAATTTGTGCACGTGGGTGGATATCTTCGAGATACACTCGCGACCAATATAGGCTCCGTGGAAGCCGCCCGACACCTTCTCCTCGGTGTTTCGGCTCTAACGGTTCTTCATACACGATAACGATGGATATTTTAGTACTGATCGAAATGTAATACGAATCAGTAGAATCGTGCTGCAGCATTCGTTAATTTTTCGGCAGAATCACGAAAGTCTTGCAGATTCGGCGGTTCTATAAATTGGGAGAATTTTGTTTCATTTATTTATTTATTTATTTTTTTTCTTGGGAGATTCATCAAGACTAGACATATACGTGAGAGAGTTTATTTCAAATTTCCGCAGCATTCGTCAATCTTTTCATGGGAATGACGAAAATTTTGCAGACTCAGCGGCTCTATAAATTGGCAGAATTTTGTTTCGTTTTTCTTTTTTCTGAGATTCATCAAAACCAGATATATGTACGTGAGAATTTATTCAATATTTCCACAGCATTCGCTAATCTTTTGATGAGAATGACGAAAAATCTTGCAGATTTAGCGGTTCTATAAATTGAGAGAATTTTGCTTCTTTTCGTCGTCTTTTTTTTTTTCTTTTTTTTTTAGATTCATCAAGACTAGACACGTACGTATTGCGATAATTTGAAAAGAATTTTTTCATCTGTATGCGACGAATCGTCGATATGAAAGTTTGTGAAAGAAGAATGTTCAGAAGACGAGAGATTATTCAATACTTCCACGGTATTCGTTGATCCTTTTATGAAAACGACGAAAATCTTGCAGATTCGACGATTACATAAATTAGGAAAATTTTGCACGCTTCTTTTTCAGCGCTTCACAAAGTCTGCGCACGTTCTGTGCATATTGTGACGAGAATTGGTAAAGCATTTTCCGATCCGTATGCAGTGAATCGTCGGCATAAGAGATTGCAAATAAGAAAACATGGATAGCGTCGACGCGTCCGTCTCCTCGCGCGATCGAATTAAATAGAAACGATATAACTTCGATATCGCTGGTTTCACAAGAGTGCGAACGCTGACATGCTGAATATCGGCAGAAACGATGTTACGCTGCACGCTAATCGGCCGGATCGCGGCAAGTACGCGAGGAGTTGCCGCGCGCTGGCGAGAAGAAGAAAGTGACGGAGAGACCGCGCGGAGTGTGGCTGGGACGTTTCAAATGCCGCGAGAACGATGTATATTAATTTGGGAGAGTCGTAGCGGTAATCGATGTTCCTATTTCTTACGGTGCTTACGGAGAGCATTCGCGCGATCTATGTAAAGTCCCGGAGACGCGGCGCGGGCGCTTTCGCTCGTTGTGTATTATGAACGGAAGAGCACTTAGCGTAATCGGTATAGTCATCGATTCGACGTGTCTGTCAGCTCGTCGAATTCGCAATAAGGAAGACGGGAATATCGGCGATCGGCTTGCCGATAAATTGGGGCCGTGCCTGGAAGAGCAATCTCGAGCCCCGGATGATCTCCGCGCAATAGAAGCGAGACGTAATTACGCAATCCGCGCTCTGATATGAGGCGTATATATAATTCATTAATCGCATCCCTCATCCATATCTAAGATAATGCGATAGATGAGGCGGGCCGGATTAGGTCGCTTTATTCCAATTCCGCGGAAGTGGGTGACTTTCGCGCGAGGAGCAGCCGGCTTTGAAATTTCTACGAAATTATCGCCGAGTATCGCGGCGATAAATAACGGCGTCGCGTCTTATCCCGCGGCGGGATTTACGCGGGGCCGCTATCGCGGAGCTGGTTTCACGGGGGGGGGGGGGAACTACTGCACTCGCTCACTTTCATTAGTTCGAGTTCGCTCTCGGTATCATCAATGGAAAGACGAGGCGAATGGATGAGCGTTTCGCTCGGGAGCCGTGCACTCTCCGTGGAGCGCGCGGTGTTATTACTCGTTGAGGCATCGATTCATCTCCAGGCGAGGGTCGAAGCGTGAGCAGAGGCACGTGCCTAGATATACTCTCGGTTCATTATCAATCCTGCGGTATTTTCAGCGGCGTGCTCAGCTGGCTGCATCGTCCTGGCTTCGGCACGGCGACGGGAGCGACGGGTTGTCGCTCGGCACGAGCGCAGCTTGTATGTACGAGCCCTTCACGTTCTCGAGCAATTACAACCGCATGCAAGGCCGGGAGGTCTTTGTGAGAATAGCCGGGCTGCGCCCGATGATCGAAGAAGGTGAAGCGGTTTCGTCCGATTGCCAGAGTTCTCCTCGGAAATTTCGTTCCCGGTGATTCTCACAATTTGCGATTCGCGGCTACACGGATCTACTACGGGCTGGAATACGAAGTTTTCCTAATGACACGTAGTTGAAGAGCCGCCAAAGGAGAAGCTGAGAGAGTCGCAGGGAGAAAATGATCTGAGATAATTTATTTACTTCTCGCGCGTTATATACACACACAGAGAGGATTCGCGCATTATGCGCATACATTGCGTGATGTGTGTATCTTGATTATGTTGGTGTTGTGCTGCGCTCACACGAGCTCACAGTTCATTATCAATGCTGCTGCACTTCCTGACGCGTTCGCGAGCGAATTTCGCGGCGCTCAGCTGACCGTCTTAAAACTTTCGAAGGGGAAAGTTATTTTCACGCGGCTATTTTCACGCTCGCAGATCCGGCCTAGGTGTTTACAGGAACACGTTACATATCTCCGTTTCGTTGCCCCGCGTAACTCGCGTGTAACTCGCAATTTAATCAGTCTCACTTCTCTCGCGTTACGTAAAAATTTATTCGGCCGGATATTATCACTCCGTCACGCGTCTACGTGGAATACGCTGTCGCTAATTACCATAACGAATCACGAAACGAGCCTTCGAGTCGTAGCTCGCCGCAAATTTGTTCGTCGGTGAAACACTGGAACGAACGGTCTCGACGGTACTATTAGCTACTACTTTGAAGAATCAGAAATGACGCTGGGTGTGACGAGCAAATATTGCGAGGGAAGGGAACAATCTCAGCGGATCGAAGAAGAAGATCGGACAGAGTTCTCTCGATCACTCCCGCCGAATATCCGCCGGACGAGGCTCGATCAAAAGTCACGACCGCTTGCATCAACGTTATCGTAGATTTCATGCACCTCCGACGAAGCTCGCCGGCTTGTCTAATGTTGAAACGTCCGACGGAACGTTCTGCGTGACTCGCCTAACTGACAAGTGTCAACCGGTCGCTTCGAGCAACGCGCGCTCGATTCCGTGAGCCACGCGTCATTTCGCCGCGGACCTGCACGCTCCTCACGCGCGACTTCCATCAGCGTGCCACTTCCACGCTTGAATCACCGCGTCTTAAGAGCGTTGAAAGTAGCTCTCCGCGAGCTCAGTGAGACCTGCTGGAGGGATCGGGATGCTCGGAGCGATCGAAGTCGCGCGACTATCTCGACGATCGTTTCGATGATGAATATCATTAAGCTTCAATGTCGTATGCGCGACGTGTAGGCAAACGTCGCATGGCTTCATCCGCAGGTCGTTGCATCCGCGACACGACGCACGGTGGGGCCAGATGACATTTTTTGCTTCAAAATTCTCTAGAGACCTGAATTTCCAACCGATCATCGATCGACCACCAATGTGGATGAGATTGATCCTGAATAAATTCCGAAGAGATCTGTTTAGCCGAAATTTTGAAAACATTGTCGGTTCAGGGTTCATGGGTTTAGGGTTTGTCTTAAAAGTTTCAAGGCTCGAACTTAATTTTATAGCTGAATATTCAACGTCGAGTATTTATATATATTAGGTTCTCGAGCTATGGTTAGCTATTGGGTTCTTGGACTATTTGAGGCTCTCAATATATATACGGCTTTATGCATCCACGAGCTAAAATGTTCTCGGATTGATAGATTCCTAGGTTGATGGGCTTAAGACTCAAAATCCCTCGGTTTTGTGCTTAACGGGTCTATATTCGATGTTTTTGTATTTTGGGCATATCAGTTTTGGGTCAATGGGTTGTTTCTGCTTCAAGATCGATAAATCTCGAGATGTCTGTTGATTGGTTTCACAGTTTCAATCCGCTGAATACGCTGTTAGATAGAAATAAGTGTCGAATAATGTCGAGTATTTCACAAGTTTCTCGCGTTTAACGATAACTTTTCCTCTTTTGGGCCTAGTAATTCGAGAAAAAAAATTTTTCTTTTCATTTTGGCAAGACAGATCTCTTCGGAATTTATTCAGGATCAACCTCATCCACATTGGCGTCGATGATCGGTTGGAAATTCAGGTCTCTGGAGGACTTTGAACCAAAAAATGTCATCTGACCCCACTGTGCGACGGCGGCGCGGTGTCTCTTTGCGCACGAGAAGGTCATCACTCGCGCAATGTGATTGCCACCTTGCAGAAGAGCACATCGTGACACGGGGTCGTCTGGCGTGACGCCAGGCTAGTCGTTGCTGCAGTTTGTCCCGCAATACGCGCGGACACGACGTTTGTACTGATGTGCGAGCAACGCCCTTCGCGAGCAGCTACGAGTCTTCACCTTGCAAATCGCATCGAAGAAAGCGTCTCCTGTGCGTGCTCGAGCACAGCCGCTGCAATACGAGCAAATCTGGAAACATGCGCGAGATAAGACGAGACGCAGTTAAGAAGCAAGGAAACGAAAGGCGCTCCAGAAACATTTACTCACGACACAGATATGAAACGGAGCGCAGGTCGTGCAAGAGCGCAAGTTTTAAGATCGCGGTGGATAGGACAGCAATCGATAAATTAACGATAAGAGGTGGCGACAAACAGCGAAGGAAGGTGTTGATCAAATCCGCTTCGCGTGGCTTTATTTCTGGTCGCTCGGTGCAAGAGCTGCAGGAAGTAGCAGCGGTCGACGAGGAAAAGAAAAAGGCAAGAAAAAGGCCGCGAGGCCAGCAAGGTCGCGCGGTTCCGAGGGGAGCTTGGAATGCTCGATCGTTGGCATAGCGCGCGGGACTTTAGCGTTGAACCGGTCGCGGCAAACTTTTGAGGATAGATATTTAGCTCACCGAGAGAGAGAGAAGCAACGTACTGCCGGCTCGCTCACCTTGAGACTTTCTGAATGAAAGTAGAACTCCTTTGTTCGTTGCAACGAGTCCCGATTGTGACGACGGATATTCCTGGAAGCGACGGACAGATTCGCAGGAAGATCGGCCGCGAATCGTCGCTGTGGCGAAATCGCGGCGGAACGAACGCTCGCGCGCGACGACTCGCGTGTGAAAACACGCGGATTTTGGCAATCGCGCCGTGGCGGATAAAGGCGCTTCGCGGCGTGGAGATTAATTCTGTGAGAAATCCGGCTGGTCTCCGTCTGCCAGCTCGCGCGCTTTCGCAATCTTTAGAGGCCGAAGAAAGGAACGATAAGATCGCGGACGCGAGCAACCGTCTCTGCAAGAATGTGACTTTGGTTGCCGTTGCAATAGGCGTCGTCGAGTTACTCCTGCGCATAATAAACGGAAGTATCCGGAGGAAAAATAGCGATATTGCGACAGGGTCTCGTCGGAACGAGCACTTGGAGGCGAGCACTCGAGACGCCATGTGTTTTTGTATAATTACACGAAGCGCTTAATTGACTGTCGGCCGACAGGCGCGCTAAAAATAACGATTGGAAACGTTGAAATGTATATAATATCAGCCCCGAGCGCAAACTCGAGACGCCGACGGCCGAGATACAAACGATTGGCGGTGGGGGAGGGGGTGAAGGAGGAGGACTAATAACAAGCGTCGAAGTGGTACGGATCTTTGAAGTGAAATCTGACGCAATCGAAACGCGTATCCTGATATTGCGCGTACGGCTCGAAATCAATTAGGCATTCTTTTCTTGAGGCTCTCGCGCTCATAAATGCGAAGGACAATCCGGTGATTTGGAATTGAGTACATATTACCACGTTCCATAAGCGGAAGCGTGACTCTTTGCTCTTTCGTGCGTCCAGCGAATTCGCACGAGCGTCGAATGCCTTCGCGCCTAACGAGCGCGATTGAAGAATCATGAAGTGAAATCGGGAAATTTTATCGCGCACGGGGATCGGCGCACACGTCGTTGGAATCTCATTACAGTCCCAGCAGTAGCTGGCGGAGAATTCAGTATTGGCCTCACTTTATTCCACTCGAAATTACCTTACAATAATCTAATTACAATAGTGAGCGCGCTCACAATTTACGCGCGCCGCCGCGCCGCGCCGCGCAAACGGCACTCCAGCGGCGAGCTGCGTGAGTTTTCCGGGGAACGTAAAAAGAAAACGAACGGGGGCGGGGCCGCCCAGTGTGCTCGAAGAGCATGCTCGGGCGAGAAATTTTATTTACATTCTTTTTTACAGAACAGTTTCCTGCAGCTCCCGCTGTCACACCCGGTCGTCGCGCCTGCGGAGGCGCGCGGCCGATCCTTCCCGATAAATCGTGATATACGCGTGACGATAATAATGTCGATGGTCGTTGAGAGGATGACATGAGATTTTCTAGCGTTCTAGTTCGCTTGAACACCCGTGCAGACAATCGTGATCGAAGCAAGAGGCCGAGAACTAGAGTATTGGCGCTCAAATCGAAGAGAAAGTCGGCGCTTTAACGAGGAACTTTTTCCTGTCGCAGATTGGAAGATTTCTGAAACCAACGAAGGTTAGAGCCAAAAATCCACTCGGTCCGTGTGTCGTGAACTTGCAGCGAATCGAGCGCGTCATTGCCATCATTTGCTCAGGACTTGCGTCTTGCCGTCGATTTACCGGTTTACAGCTCATCGCTGATGATTAAGACAACGATGGCAACGTGCAGTTCTAATTGTCGGGTGTAAAACCCTGAAGGAAATGGAATTGATAGATTTAATGAAGAAGTTGCATCACACGGACGAAATGGAGTAGCAGCTTTCGCTCGGCGGTTCCGGGCGCGCCAACACCGGCGGTTCTCGACTTCCGCCTCCGGCGGACGGTCTATTCGCGAGGACCACGACGCTGCCCCCAGGCTTGGGGAGGGGAGGGAGCGGGCAACGTCGCGATCACGCCGAGGTAACCGGGGTGTCCCGTTTCGTCCCACTCACGAATAAGATGAAGAAACAAGACCAACACGTTCCGGGACGTGGGCGAGCCTGGGATCAGTCGTGGCGTTCGCGAGAGTACAGAGTCTTCGACGTCGCGACTGTCTTGCATACGAGCCAAGCGTGGACTCTGCAAGATCGTGAGCCAAACGCGGCACTCGCTACGAGAATCGCAAGAGACATCGGAATCCCGGGACTTTCCGAATGCGACAACTGAGCCCAAGCTCTCTCTCTCTCTCTCTCTCTCTCTCTCTCACACACACACACTCTCTCTGCTGGACATAGGAGCGGGACTAGAGGCGATCTAGTAATAGCCAAAGCTGATGTCGTGCAACGGCGGTGCGACTCCCTGAGGCAAGGCGTAGTCCCTGGCGAGCTGATCCAGGATACCGCCTCCGCTGCGAGACTGCGGCTGGGAACGTCGTTCCTGGTCCGGCGCCGGACTGAACTGCGCGGGACCCTGATTGTAGAGCTGGGACGCCGGCGCGGGCTCGTCGTAGGCCGGGCTCTGCTGCAACGAGGACTGCCGTGGCGCAGCGGCCGGCGTGAAGATGGGCGATTTCGGGAGAGCGGGTCTGCTGGGGGCTACCTGTGCAGGTGCGTACACCGCTTGAGTGTGCGCCTGCGGCTGGTAAGCCGGGCGTGCTGGTGCCTGCTGAGGTCGCGGCTGCGGCTGCGGCTGCTGCTGCGGCTGCGGCTGCTGGTAATCGTAGTCCTGGTAGGTCTGTCCTTGAACGCCATCCTTGCTGGTGGTCTCGTCGATCAGGGTCGGCGGCGCCACGGTGATGCCTTCGCCGGCTGGCTGGAAGCCGTACTGGTTCGCGCCGTACTCGACCACGCGCACCTTGCCGGTGTCATCGACGAAGCCGTATTTGCCCCTCACGTCGCCGGTCGGCAACTTCGTCTCGATCTTGAAGGAGCCATCAGCGCCCTCGAAGCCGTACGTGTAGGAGCCGTCCTCGTTGTGACGATTGATCTGCTTGAGGATCGCCACCGGCGTCGGCTTCGGGTTCTCCGGCGCCGCCGATTGCCGGGACGGCACGTCGTTCGGCGCGTAGCTGCGCGGGCTAGGTTGGCTGGGCCGCTGCGAGTCGTACTGGGCGTAGTCGTCGACATAATTGCCGCCGGGCTGCTGGTACTGTTGCGCCGACACCACCAGCAAGGCGGCGAGCACCGCGGCTACCTGAAAATACGGAAGTGCCGTCACTTGGCTGCCTTTCGCATGTTGATTATTACGCCCGAATCGGGACGTCATCGGCAGAGAGGCAGGCAAGCAAGCCTGTTCGCGTGTATTACGTGATACCAGCAGTCTCGATCTCAATTTTTCGTCATGGCTCGTTAAACGCCGCATTTAGGCAGCTGCGCCTTCGCATTAGCAGTCTATGCTGTCCCTCTCTCTCTCTATCTCTCTCTCTCTCTCTCTCTCTCTCCTTCTCTCTCGCGGCTAACGTGTGATTTCGGTTGCGTTCCGTCAGCTTCCGCAAGCGCGGCTCGACCGACGGCGATTTTAAGAGCCGCAAGCTGCATCGATCGGCGAACGACTTGGCGGAATGACACACGTAGGACGGATCGACAAACTTGGCGATTCCATGACGAATTTAACGGAGAAAAATCGCGCGTAAGAAACTCGCGAGCTGACGCGAACTGAACGCTCCGGCGGCCCTCTCCGTTCGCCACGTCGGAGTTGCGCGATTTTTGCAGTTTCTTGCGCGGACGTGAACGTGTCTCGGTTTTTATGTAGGCGCAAGCCAACCGGCGGGTTCAACCCGTGAGGAATAAAGCGGGGATTTCTTTCTCCGCCCGTCATGGAAGCCCTGAACCGTTAACTCCGCGAGACGCAATCGCGAGGTGACCGCGCGTCAATCCGGGGATACCCAGCGGCGGATCCTTAACCGCACGAGCGCGTTGCGCCACGATTCAGTGGAGTGGACAAGCTGAAGGAGTTCCAAGCCGGATTCCGCGGAGAGCCGCTGCAAATGACGTTTATTAATCGCGATCGCTCACGCGTGACCGGTACGTGTTTCGTGCTCACCCCGGCGACCAGAGCGCGCACGACACGTGCCGATTCTAAAATTAACGCGGCCAAGTAATTCACTCGCTCGATACGCTTCCTGCTGTGCTGACCGAGCGGACTGTGATACACGCCGGGGAATGCAGGCGGATCGCGTTTCAATCGACTCCCGCCGATCACTCGCGATCGGCTGTCGATCGGTTCTCCGCCTTCTCCGGGATCGCCTGTTGTTCCGCCTTGTGAGATCGCATGTTTCCCGTGCCGAGTCCGCATTGCGTCTACTCGATATAATAGAAACCGACATTTCCGCACTGCCGACTCGACCCTCTGACTCGCGCGAGTTTTCATTTTTAATTCCTCCCCCCTCTCGCTCTCTTCGCAGGCGAGCTTGAGCTCCAGGGGATAAGCAAATCTCCTCCCTAGCTTCCTCGTGTCTTTCGTTCGACGTCGTACTTTCTAGCGTCGTACGCGTCTCGCGATAAGAAGGGAAAATCGCTCTCAGCAGAGGAGAACGGCGGAGGTAAAAAGGGCAGGAAAAAGAGGGCGAAGAAACTGGCACACGCGCCTTGTACAGCGCGTCGTGCGGCCAGGGGTTAATTAGCCGTGGTTAAAAGTTAACCGACGCTGGTGCAACCGGCACCGAGGGAGCCGCTCGTGCTCTCTCTCTCTCTCTCTCTCTCTCTCTCTCGCGCGCGCGCGCGCGCGCCGCTGGTCATCGCACGCGATCGCGCTCGCGATCATAACGAATTATATAATCCTCGTTCCCCTCCTCCCGTCCGCCCGCCCGCCCCGGGCAGGCGAGCGCGTTGGATGAAAATAAGTGCGTCATAATAAGTGAAACCTCAATAAATGTTGCCGCTACATCGAAGAAAATAGAAAACGGGATCACAGAGTTATTGCGGAACGCCGCGGGCTGAGCCTGCGAGCCTACGGGCCGACGATTAAAAGTCGCCGCCGATGTTTCGCTCTTCTTCTTGCGGCGAATCTGTTCGTCTCACGGACGCGCGATGGTCGTCCGAGATCGCGGCCGCGAGCGAAGTGAATCGAAGCGTCTGCGCGATACAAAGTCGACGCGAGGAACTCGCAAAGAAGCGCGGTATATCAACTTCTGCTTCCCGCTGAAGAAAGAGATTCTTCAGCGCAGTTGCCTTGAAATCGTTCTCCACGACCGCAGCGGCGGCGGCGATTTCTACCGGCGGCTACTTCGTCGTAATTAATTATATCGTGGTGATTAATTATCGTCGTAGAGACTGCGCGAGCGTGCTCGTAGCGATTCCACATAAACCGGATTCCGCCGCCGGAGAGCGACGAGAGTCGACCACAGAAAAGTGCACAGCAGCGCGCGATGGCCGACGGAGGAGAGTCGAGAGCCGCAGGAATCGGCGGAGCAACGCGCGCGAGACGAGATTAATCGAGAATCAGAGCGGATTCCTCGGGGAATCCTTCCTTCGCGCTCACAATACGGATAATGCACTGGTCACAGCCACATTTCAGTCACACATCACACGCGATTTCCGCGCTCGCGCGACGACGCTTTCGGCAGAGAGTCGCGGCTACTGCGAGAAGAAGAGGAACGCGGCGACGACGACGATGAGATGATGATGATGATGATGATGATGATGATGATGACGAGGATGCACTCAGATACGTACCGTCGCGAGGGTGTGCATCGTGTTTCCCGGCGGTGGTGTTAGTGTGTGTGAATGTAAGTAGGCAGCGAGGCTAGAGTACCGGCGATTGCTCGAACTGAGGCCCTCATATACCTTACTGCTGCCCCCCCGTTCCTGCCGCCCCCCGCTCTCGCCCTGCTCTGCGCTCCTGTTCGCTCCGGGGGACTTTCACTATCTATTCGACTCCCGTGCGTACGGTCGCCTGGTCTCGTTTACGGTACCTTATATCCCCTAAATATTCCCCACCAGAGAGAGGCTGCGCCCCGCGGTATCTCGGGGAATCTGGAAAATTGCGCTCGATCACTCGGCTGGCTGCGAGCAGCGCGGAACGGAACAGTCGCGAGAGATGCACGGGAATTCGTCCAAGTGAGCGCACCACGCTGGAGAAGCGAGCTACCTCGGGGAAGCACGTCGGTTCCGTCGTCTCTGCGCGACGATTGATTAACGGAAAAAAGAATGGCTCGAACTTAACGCGACAGTCGAGCGAACCAGAGTTTCTGGTTCTCGGCGGCAAATCTGAGTCTGAAGAATCGGAACGTTGCAACATCCGAGACGTTCGGAAAATCGCTCGGCGATGTCGAGCCGCCGATGAACGAGAGTGTCGAATTTCACGTTGAAATTGGCAGCGACACGACGATCATGTAACCCGCTCCGGCGAAAAATTCGATCGGTTTTGTGAAACTGGTGTGCCGAGTTTCTAAGGTGGAATGTTATGTAAAAGTCGCAAGTTTGGGACCGCGAGAGAGAGAGAGAGAGAGAGAGAGAGAGATTACGCACGAGCGGCGTTAGAAATAATTCGACGAGCGCGCTCGTTCTTATCACTCGCCAGCGTATCTCAGTATCTCGCGGGGCGATCTACAAAAAAATGATCGATATTTTATTCGTGCCGTGTCGCGCGCCAACAGTCCGCGCCATGGAGAGCCATTTTCAATCCGCTATGTCGGGCTGCGACTTAACGGGTTCTGCAACTCCCGCGTCACGCGCCTTTCTGCAATCGGCCCGAAGTCGAGCGTTTCCGTTGACACGTTTCAAAATCGGCAGCCCCGCAGCTTGCGAGCGAGAAATTGCGCGTCTGCCGGCATAATTAACTTCTCGCTCCACCGGAGAAAGGGATATCCTCCCTCGCGCGGATGCCGTGACGCATACTTGACCGTCAGTCGTCGAGCGTCGAACGAGCGAAAGAAAGTTCCGTCGAAGTTGGTATTATCGAGGCATTTCCCGAGCCGAAGTCGCATTTCCTGCGAACTTGCTGCGCGAATTACACAAGAACGTTCGCCGGAGGATCAAGTGTAATTGACCGCAATTTGGAGCCGCGGCGTTTACGTAATATCGATCTCAACAATACGCCCCGCTTCGCGATACGCGCTCTCACTCTCGTTTGAGTAGTATCTCGAAAAAGAGAAAGCGCTATTACGCATATCGCGTCCCGCTTTGATTTGATTATACACATTTGCCGGCGAAAATCAAACATCACGGCCGAGCGCAAACAATACGATCATAGGAAGGATATCCTTCGCGGTTAATAGACGCGCTTCGAGACGTGGATTCTAGAGAACAAATTCCTCAACGACGCTCAATAAATCGAGAAAGCAAGGCACTTTATAATACGATATGGAAATAAATAATACGTTTGTGTCGTGTCGGAGCAATAATTAATGCGAGCGAAATAATTATAAGCAAGAGAAAGTGAGGGGGCGTGTTGGGGAGAAGAAAATAGTACTTTTAAGAACCGTCCGACCGTTGCTCGATTTCCACCGCATTCCAACGCAGTTCGGCGCGACGATGAGGGCGGCATTGAGTCTGAAAATAAAACGGCGTGACTCCTATTCGTCTCCTTGAAACTGACCGAATGCAAGGTCGGGCGGCGATTCGGTAAAATGGAGTCCGGCCTTTGCCGTCCGGCGGTCACCCGGCGTTTTCATCTATTCCAGTTTACGAAACACGCCGCGGATCGCGTGGGTTCCGCCCGCGGGATAATCGATGGATCGATATTTTGCAACTTTCTATCGTATATTAGACGGCCATTTACCGACTGACCGATACTCCCGTTGCTCTTATTTCGTTGGCCATTTTTTCACGCCGCTCTACGTACCAATTAATATTGATAATGTGCCGAGACACGCCCGTCACTGCGGCGCTTGACGTTTTCGACATAGTTTTTTATACAGCGTTTAGCATTTCACAGAGTTACATTATCCAGAGCACAATCTGAGGTAAAAATCGAGGAGACACAGCATATGTATTATGCGTAGAAAAATGTGCATGGTACTGCACACGTACTTGACAATCTGAATTTAGAAGAGAAAAATCAGAAAGGAACTTGTTTTTGTGTTTGAGCGTAGCATTGTAGTTCTTGATTTGCAAGGTAATTGCAGCGTAATTATTATCAGTATATTTTATCGCGAATGAACACGTCTCGAGACGAGGGAAAGGGGAAGGAAGGAAGAAAATGTCTTTGTTTTTCTCTCAGGCTCTCGTGACGCAACCGCGTCCTCAAGGTCCTCGAGGCGATTGCAGTCGGTGGTGTGGCTTAACGATGACTTCCAGCACGGGGCGTGTAGCCCACGATTAAGACCCGCGATAATTGCCCGCGAACGACCCAGATTATGCTTGCATTCACAAGTTTTATTTCGCCGATGATCCGCCTCGCGGCGTGCCCCAATGCCACTCGGTGAAAGGAGCAGCTAAAGATCGGCGAATTTCGTGTGACCGTCGAGAAAACAGAAAAAAAGTGATCCTTAACCCCTTAATGAACCAATCAGTCCAATCACTCGATCTTTGTTACGCTAAGCGATTTGATCCCTTCGACTGTGTTATTTTGTAACGACGCTTCGTCTCGTTAAAATTTATAGGATCTCATTGAACGGATGCTCAAACGACGTCCATCAATTTCGACTGATGAATCCCGGACTAGAGCGAGCGACGGGATGTTAGATGTCAGAAAAATTCGTCGAATAATACCTGAGAACAATTTCAAGTATCACGGCTTCGGCTAAATTTCTCGCGTTCGATCTCGTGTTTCCGCGAAACAACGCGTTTCCTGAGAGAAAAGTCTCCCAGTCGTTATCGTTTCATGTATAAATCCACTCGTGCAGCTATCGGCTCGCGGCAATCTCACGGCGGTGCTCTCTGCGAGAGATCCTGGATCCTTCACGGAGAAAGAAGGCGGCTGGATTTATCGTAAAGTTCTGTCGGTCAATCCGGAAAGCGCTGTCCGATCGCCGCGTAAACACGCGGGATACCTCACAACCGCATACAAGGTATGCAAGGTCTAGCGAGCGACGACAATCGACAAGAGCCTCGCCTTTCACGAGTCACTCTCTTCGGAAACGGCCACGGCGGCGCCGCCGCCGCCGCCAGCCCTGACATTTACCGGTATATAGATCATCTCGGGTGAAATTAGTTCCTCGATACGCGACGAAATCGTACCGGACGATCCGACAACGCCTATGACGACGTTTCTCTCGCGCATCTCGCGTTGCACCGGTCGCTCCGTTTTTATTATGTAACCGTTGCTGCAACGAGTTCGCAACTCGAGAGCCGATCGGCGCTGCGAGATGCCAGGCAAATTGCCGGGAACGCGCGCCGGAGGTGCGACTCTTGCGAAGGTGACGGAATTGGCGATTTTCCGACGACATCCGATATATCGATTCGTCCGCTCGCCGAGCGGCTTCTCTCGCGAGCGACGTTACGCCGCTTTCTATTTTTATGCAACAATCAGAAACGATTGCCCGCGCCTAACGACAAGTACTCGATCACATCGGTCGCGCGAAAACTGGAACTCCGGTCGGTCGGCAAAAAAGCCGACGGTGCGGTTGGTGCTTACTATAAGAGAAGGTGATGTGATTAGCGCTCGGGCCGTCTGAAACGTAAAAGTCGCTCCACCGCCGTCGCGGCACGCGCGCGTGTTCGCAAAAGGGACCAATACGCGGCTACGATTACGTATAAATTGTCTTATTACGCTTGCCTTATTCGCGGCGTTTTACTTCGCGTAGGTACGAGGGGATTACTCGTCGCCGGTCGAGGAAGACGATCCTCCCGCCGCGTTGAAACACGCGATACCGTATTTCAACGCTACGGGTAAAGAGCCGCGGGAATTGGCGCTGCGCACCGCTCTATCAGTATGTAGCCATTACAGGCTACAAAGTTGCTCATTGTTGAGGATCGAAAGTGGCACGACAAACGAGCAAATTGGCCTCGCGTAATTGAGCGCTGACGATAATTAAGAAGAAAGCGGACTCGCTTTTCAGAAAAGAAACACGTACAGTTTCCCACGTCAATTAAATGCATCGCGAGTCCCATGCAACTTTGTACGAGTGAGAAATACCGTACAAAGTTACATGAGACGATATCGTCTACACATATTTTGTCGAAGGACGTGTGTATGTGTGCGAATTTTTAATCGCGCTAAGAATCACCGCTGGTTCGTGCAGGACGAAGCGAGTGCCACTCCTCTGCCAGTCAGTTTCTCAAGTGCCGCAATCTGCCGGACGCGACAAACTGATGGCCAGATTAGAGGATGTATGGATCGAGAGGAAGGAGGGGGGGGGGTGAAGCGGTGCGAAAATTGCTAAAGAGCCGCGAATATTACATTACCTCAACGTAACATTTCATTCACGTCCCGATGAGAGGCGAAAATGCCGCTCGAGCGACTTAGCGACGACCGAGAGGAGAGGATGTGCGAATTGAAAAGAATCGAAAAGAGGAAGAAACCGAGGAGGAGAGTTTTCAGAACGCCGCGAATATTACATTACTCCGACGCAACGTTTATATTATGATCTAACGAGAGATGCAAATGCCGCTCGAGCGACTTAGCGGATCAGGTCGTTTTATAATTACGCGGTCGCGACAAAAAGAGGAAAGTTATACGTGTTCATTACGCTGGCAAAGGAAAGCGAGTTCTGCCGACATCTGGCGCACCAGACCGTCGCACCACGCCTTGCATCAGAATGTCTCGAGAGTGAACGCGGAATCGCGAGCCTGCGTGCACGCATTCGCTGACCAAATGCATACTGAGGACGAGGAAATGGAGGAAAAAGAAACCGCGCTTGTTATTAGATAAATCGGAAAGTTCCGTCCATCCAGCGGCAAGCTAGCTGTAGCTAGAACTGTCGTTAACCTCTAATGTCTAAACAAAGCTTAATGGTTTGTTTTGACATCTGTCAATAACATTCAGTACATAAAGGTATACGTTCGCATCAATAGCATTGTTTTTTACTGCATCGAAAATGTCGAGATTTGCGCGAAGTGTTAATCTTTTGCTTCAATTGGAAGAAAATTGCAGCTGAAGCTCATCGAATGGTTGTAGAAGTTTGCGGTGATAATGCTCCTTCCGATAAAACATGCAGAGAATGGTTTCGACGCTTTAAAAGTGGTGATTTTGACGCAGAGGACAAAAAGCGTTCTGGACAGCCAAGAGTATTCGAAGACGAAGAATTGCGGGCATTGGTGGACGACGAAGACCCATGTCAAACGCAAGAGCAACTTGCAGAAGCATTAAATTGTGCCCGATCTGTCATTTCCGATCGTTTGAAAGCCTTAGAAAAGTTTCCAAAGAAGGAAAATGGGTCCCATATGAACTGAAGTGAAGAGACATTGAAAGACGAAAAATTACCTGCGAAATTCTGCTTGCTAGGCAACAAAGAAAGGGGTTTTTACATCGCATCATCACTGGGAATGAAAAATGGATTTATTTGAACAACACCAAATGTCGAGAAACTATTTGCGATCCCGGCCAACCCTCAACATCGACGCCAAAGCGGAATATCCGCGGAAAGAGAAGGCAATGCTCTGTATTGGTGTGATCAGAAGGGTGTGCTGTACCATGAGCTGTTGAAAAGTGGCCAAACAGTCACAGGGGATCTCTACGGAGAACAAATGATTCGTTTGAGCCGAGCATTGTACGAAAAACGACTAGAATATGAAACGCGATAATATAAATCTGCGAAAGAAACGTTGGAAGCACTTCGCTGGGAAGTGTTACCCCATACGGCTTATTCACCAGACTGTGCCCCTTGCGACTACCACTACGACTGTTTCGGTCGATGGCACACGCACTTGCTGACGAATGCTTCGAATTTTTTATGAAGACGTCGAAAAATGGGTCTCTGGATAGCCTCCAAAGATGAGTCATTCTTTCGATGCCGGAAGGAATTCGCTTGCCGACCGAAAGATGGAAAAAAGTAATCGCTAACGATAGACAGTATTTTGATTGATGTGCTTTTTCATTTTGTTTCTTAAATAAAGCCATTTGCGTTTTGCAAAAAAGACGGACGGAACTTTCCGATTGATCTAATATCAGAGACGACGAATTATCGTGCGCAACCTGCGCGTACGCAGGTTATTTTTGACCCGTCGGGATTTGTTCTCCGACCTCGAACGTCATTACGAGATTCACACACGAGCTTTCTACGCGCTCTCAGCGCGGCATACTTTTTATTATTTCCGCGCGATGCGAAATATCACATCGCAGACGAAATGTGCGCGCATTTCCTCTCGAGGAAATTTCGCACAAACAATGCGCCTTTATAATTTTGTAATTTTACGTAATATCACCCGGGCTTGTCCGAATTGCTTTCTCTGTGAGCTGCAAGTGCGTTATTTTTTAAACTACTTTTTGCATCTCTCGTTAGATCACAATGAAACGTTGCGTTAGGGTATAATGTAATATTCGCGGCGCTCTGAAAGTTCTCGCAGCGATTTCTTTCTCTTCCCGATTCTTTTCACAATTCGCATATCCTCTCCAGTCGTCGCTAAGTCGCTCGAGCGGTATTTCCACCTCTCATCGGGGTTATTTATTTCATCCACGGAATGATCTCTTTAATCGCCGCGTTGTTTGCGGAAAGAAGATCAGGAGAGAGCCGAAAACGCAGGAGGAGCTATCTCGAATTTATTTATTACCTGAGAATCGAACACCTCGACTCGTAGCGAGCCCGGTTGGGCAGCGGCGCCGATCGCGAGCTGCGAGATCGCGGACTATATCGTGAAAGGTGGACTTGGGCGGTGATCCGTGGCACTCTCCACGTGTCAGGTATGCGCGACGTGTAACCTCTATGCGTGCGGTTTAGGATCAGGCCAGAAGTTAGAACGCGAAGGCGACACGACAGCCGGCAGTTTCCGCTGTGCCCACGCGTGAATGCACGAGACATGCTTGATCGTCATTGAATCGATACCTCAGCGAAAAAGTCAGCAAGGGTGCGCATTATATACGGTGGCTTTTATTTCATATTTTACCCTCCTCATACATCACAGAACTCATTTCATTCTTTCTTCATTATCATTACGTATTGTTCCGAAGCGCGTAATCTCCGACGTAACTCTCGTCGAGTACGTTGCGAGTGTCAACGTGGTTACGATTCTGTAATCTTGCACTCACAATCTCCATCGCACACGTACGTACACGGATAGGGAGAGAGAGAGAGAGAGAGAGAGAGAGAGAGAAAGTACAACGGATTAAACTTGCAGAAACTATAGTAACGTTATTCGTGTCTGCTTTTGCAGAAGAAGTTGAATTTAACGTACCGCCTTGCAGCTTCTTGTTGCGACGAGCGTAAGTACTCAGACGGCAATTGATGGGCTGGAAAATATCGCGGCCGGAAATCCGCTGCGTCGCTGCGTGTGAATTTTGATTTTACGCACGTGCGAAAGGCCGAAAGGTAGCAGCTATGTAGGTGTCTGCAGGCGTTACGTAACGATTAAGAGTGCGGGTGAAATTCTTGGGTGTGTCGAGAACAGCCCGACGGCGCTCTTTATATGCGAGAGAAAAAGATTACCTGCGTTTTCAGCCACATCAAGTGGACACTCTGGGGCCTGTATTAATAGGGCACGCGTCTGGCGCGTGCAACTGGAATTCGTTGCCGAGTATTGCTTCACAAACCGGACAGGTTTCTCGGTTCTGTGCGGTTCTCAACATCATCGCAAGGTCGACTCGAGTCGTTCAATCACTTTCGCGGGGTCGTCGAGAACTCTGTTGACCTCGCGGTTACATCCTGTTTGCTCGGACTGTCTCGCGCAACATTGTACACGATAAACTCGCATCTCACATGCACAAGTGCGCTTTATCGTACGCTGAAGTACGTAGGTGGAACTTCTCCCAAGTTACTCAAGAACTCTTTGCGATCGCAGACGCCGCGCAAGTTGATTCCACGCGTCCACACTGCGAGTGAGAGAAAGCATCTCGCGCAGAAAAAGAATGTGGTAATTGAGTGGACCGCTTTCCTGGTGAAGTGCAAACTCAGAAATTTCCATTGAAAGTACCAGAATTCTCTTAAGTCAACCAGAAATCTTGACTGAATTCTGACAACTTCAATCGGAATTTCTGAGTCGTTCGCCAAAAAGTTCTTTCGTTCAACCAAATATTTTTCTCTCCGTGCGGACGAGGGAATGCAATCGATATATGAAGCGAGCTAAGAAAGCGGAAGTAAAGTAAATCACAGAAAAGCGATACACATCGAATTTCTCGACAAGAGAGAGGTAGAAGCTCCCGAAGCGGAAGAGGTAGAGGAAACAAGTCAGAGACAACACAAGAGGTAGAAAGTTTCGTTCCACTGGGAACTCGAACGGAAAATGAAAGACAGAGCGAGGATAATCTAAATTGATCGCAAGTCGACACCATTGTCGTGCCGTGATTGCTAAATTAATGCTAATTAATCGTAAGATAACGCGGCGCGTCGTCGAAACATCGGCCGCGCTGATTAGTAAAACATGCGACACTTAAGAGAACATTTACAACAACGACTCGGAATACTTATAAATAATGTGGCCTTATATACACGCTTTCCCCCTTCTCTCTCTTCCTTCTCCTTCCAAATCGTTCCTCTCTCTCTCTCTCTCTCTCTCTCTCTCTCTCTCTCTCTCTCTCTCTCTCTCTCTTTCTCTCTCTCTCTTCGCATCACTTGTAATTAACCGTGTAGGATGCCAAGTCGGCGTTCATGTTGATATTGGTCGCGGCGTGTCCTTGCGGTCCGGCTGGAATCGCAGGCGAAGGATACGCGGATCGTAGTTGCTGACCTTGATAATGCGATCGGTACTGCGGCTGATATTCCGGCTGGAACCGCGGGCTCGCGGCCGCCTGCTGATAATTGACGGGCGCGTTATACCTGAAAAGACGAGGAATCGGGTCAATCGGCTGGTGTCCGTCCCCGTTGAGACGCGCAGGCGCGACCGATTTCCCGGCAAGTTGAGCAAGTCACGAGCTCTCGGTACTTTCCAGTGATTCACTTGACATTTAGTACGCTCGTTATCTCATCGCGCTCTCCGCCCGCTTGCCGAGCTTTCCGCGCGCATTGATCCGCTGAGATCCGATGGTCCGGTCGAGAGAACGAGGACGACGGAACGAATGAAAATCGGCAAGTTCGGCACAGCGTCGGGAGAAACTCGAAAGACTTCGAAAGCGCAGGAACCGGGGTTTCGCCGAAGTTTCGTCAGCATTCGTCGCGATTGAAACTTCAGCTCGATCGAAACTCACCGCACTCCAAAGTACTGCTAAACAAAGTACCGATCACGCGACGCGAAAAACTATAGCCGGGACTCGCGACTCTCGCGTTCAAACGAAGGTCGAGCGGGCAGAGATTGCGTGTCAGAGTTCATCGCGACATTGCACCTCGTCGGCTGGCTGTAAGCTGGCGATGCCGATGCGAACTGCTGATTGTAGACGAGCGACTGTTGTTTGTACTTAGGCATCGGGTCGTAGCGCTCGCCGTTGGTGAAACGCGGATCGGTATGATAGACCGACGGGTCCTCCCGGTACTGTCCGTCGTCGTCGGGCTCTTTCGTACCGGCGATGCTGTTGCCGGTCAAGGTCGGCGGGGGCACGTTTATCCCAGGACCGACCGGCTCGAAGCCGCGCCTGGATGCTCCGTACTCGATCTCACGTACGTTCCCGGTGTCGTCCACGAAGCCGTACTTGCCGTAAACCTCGCCGGTCGGATATTTCGACTCGATCTTGTACGAGCCGTCCGCAGCCTCGAAGCCGTAACTGTAGCTACCGTCCTCGTTGTGCCTGTCGGAAAGTAGTTCTCGTGTTTCGTTATTGTAACATCCTGATGATACAACAACAATAATAACAGTGACGATAATAATACAATGATAAAATCAATAAAATAATAGAAAAATAATAATAAAATTCATATTTTTTGAAACGTCGCGAATTTGTCTACCCGAGCATAAAATATATAAAAAAAATACCATAAAGCAATAAGAATTGAAGTAATTAAGTGTAATAAAATTCAAGTAATGAAACTTAACAGTCCGCTAAAATTCAAGTAAAATTCAAGTAATAAAAATTAACAGACCACTTAATTTTTGGGTTACATTGATGGTGTCTTTTTTATACAATTTTTGGACACTCAGTGTCCAAAAATTATGCCGTTGCGTTATTTGTTATTACTTATTCTCTTCCAACGTCGGTGCATCCCAACGTCAGTTCTAAAATAGATCGCGAACGGAGACGTACTGCAATGCCGCCCACTATGTATCGTTGCATCAAGTTACGCCAAGTGCGATGTCGCTTTCATGCGGTTACGTAAAATCAATGCAATACTCACTTGTTTATTTGTTTTAAAATAGGCACCGGTGTTGTCACTGGATACGGTTGATTGTGTTGGGCGACCGCAAGGCCGAGGCAAAACAGAAATAACAGCACCTGGTGACACAAATTTACATAAAAACGTCATTTGAATCGTTTTCCAAATGGCCTCGTGCGCGCACAAGAGAAAAGTCGGTGGTTGGAATGGCGCGACGACGATGCGCCCTCCTGCTATCATCGTGCAGTAATTCTCCGCACGTTTCCCTCTTTTCTAACGAATAAAGAGCTACGTGAAATTTTGCCACTCGTCGACCCGTCAATCCGTCGCTTCGTAAAAAGAAGAAAGGACGAAAGGACGCGAATTCGTGTCACAAACAACAAACAGATCGCTAATTACACTCAAATGTTTTCTCCTAGAAACGTGATTAAACGCGATCGTTATAATTTGTACAGTTTCTAAAGTTTCTCATTGATTAATACACCAAGCATCGAGCGCAACGTAGAAATATTCCCGTGTATTAGATTGGCGCAAAAATAATTGCGGTTTTTCATGTATCGAGTACAAAGACGCATATATCAGTTAAAAATTATATTTATTAATCAAAATAAAGACCATTGGCCTGCACACATTTCTCCCAACGGGAAACAAGTTTGTTTGTTTATTCCTACAAGATAGAATTTTGAAAAAGATAACGGTAACTGGGAAAATCGGCGCTAAATTTCAAATGATAAGAACCGCACTTATTTCTGCACCAACCTAATATTTTAATAATCGAAACTATGAGATTTAGGCTCATATCCTGAATTTTCTTTTTTCGCTAAAAATGACTCTAAAAGTAGCTTATAAGCCTCCTGATGCTGTAAGCCACTTTTAGAGTCACTTTTACTGATGAAAGAGAATTCAGAATGTGGGCCTTAGTCTCTGCGGAATTCAACTTCTTGAGGAAGAGTCAAATAATCTTAGTAGATGTCGACGCATCCGAATAAACGCGTTCGAGAGAGAAAAGAAGAAGACGAAGCAACGATACTCACGGGAGGACGCATGTCTGGTTGTTGATGAGGCAGAAGTGATTGTGTTATAGGATCGCGTTTTACGCTGCGCGAGTCTGCTTATATAGGTCCCCTTCGGGAGCGGCGGGGCCCGCCCATGGGCCCGACCTCCGCCTCAACCTGAACGCCGATCTGCCGCAGTGCGCGGATTCGCCATACAAAGAGATTGAAAATTTCTATTGCACTTCTTAGGCTCTTCCAATTTTCATTCACAATATATGGCGCAATCGCACTCACCGTGTTGCGCACGGCTCGTTGTATAAATACCGCGAATACCGGTGGCGATGATGGATCGCTGATAATAATTGACGTTTGTTACGATAAACGCAGACATTCTCACGATGCTCGCAGGTGAAAATTACTATACCGGATGATTCGCGCGTTGTAACTTTTCAACTTTCGAGTACAAATGGTTGAGAAAGTCCGGCTGAAACTTCAAAGGGCAGCGACACTCCGAGCCTGTGCAACAGACGCGAAGTGCATTTTCACTTAACTTGAGCCATTAATGGCGATTATATCTTGCAATATCAAATAGCATCCTAACGAAAGCGCCCACACATAACACGTTCGCGTTATATGTTACGTTTCATAACTATAAATACTAATAATTATTGTTGCAACAATCGATTAAACGAGCTTGCATCGCATGTTATAATAATTTTGTATCATTATTTCTTCGCCCTGAGAAATGCAACCGAGAAATTACATATTGCGATCGACGAGAAGTGATCCCACCTTCCGACATTGCTTAAATGACTGGCAGACATGCAACCTCCAATCGTGGCGTCAATGACAAGAAGCCCTTGACCACACAATGCGTCCTTGATTTTCAAAAGTGCAATTTCATAGCTCGAGACTCTTATATTTTCGTCTCGAAGCCGCCCGTGTCCGCGAAATACATTTTTCGCTGAAGTTTCCAGTAGCCGGGCGGCCCCCACGCCGGAGATTTCAACGTTGGGGACTTTAGCGCCGGAGACTTCAATGCCGGAGATTTCAACGCGTGGCACTTGACATACGGTGCAGCTGATGAAGTCTCGAGGGTTTGCGAAAAATTTTTTATTGGTGTCTCTTCGACGATTGGATATGATGCTTTCTGTAATAAAATTATATATCTTGCTTGCTCCAGAGATAAAATTCTACTATTGGAAATTACATCACACTGGAGATTATCTCGCGAGGATTCACGCTCCTACATTTGTCTGGTGTAAATATCAAATTATTATTTATTATACACGATTAAAAGCAGTTCTTCCTTTAATATGTAGGTTGTATATCATGAGTCTTATTTAAATGTCAACAGAGATGGCTTTGGTCGCCGGACTGGATATCTTTGTTGTGATACTGCGGCTTTGTGGAAAATACAATGTCCCGGCAATTTCAGCATTTTGTGACGTACGGTTGCAGATGCGGTGAACATCGGTTATGTAATTATACGAATCGTCAGTTTGCCTCTCCCCTCCCCAGAACTTTCTCGATCATATAAGAGAACTTCTTGACATTTAGCGTCGCAGTAATAAGGGCGATGCGGAATTGCGGCGCAACATAGTGAAGCCTACCGCTTTTTCCGTCTTACCGCTGATTCTTTGTCCGTGAGAATACCGTAGCGTGAAGACATTAACGTTTATTGTACCGATAGTTACCGTCTCTAATTACCCTTTGGCTTCAATAACACCACCGCAGATAATAATTCTTGTCTGGACATTCTCCGATGATTAAATTGCGAGTTCAATTCGATAGAGGTCTTTTATTTTTTGGGAATCAAGCATTTTCCTCTAGTATCGTTACACAAGATTCACGTGAATACGTGGTATCGTTAAATTGAAGAAAAAGATTTTTACCTCTTGAACGATTTTCGAAAGATCGATCTCGTGAAATCGTTCTTCCCGTCGAGGACGATGGTTATTTATTTGTTATACGAAAGAAATACTACGACTGTAATATTCTTACAAAGGATCGCGGTGAAAGTATGGAAGGACAGTGTTCCGGAATTTACATTCGAGCAATGACAAACAAAGAGGACGGGATTCCGTCGCAATTGAGTGACAGTCGTAACTAGAGAGTTTATTGCCTGTCCCATTGATCGCATGTCACACTCGTTATCTTTATGCAACACTGTTGCGTGTATCGTAAGTTGTAATTCTTACGCGACAGTTTGCCACGTGGATGACCATGCCGATGAGGACAATGAACATCCGCTTTCCGCGAAATCCCGCGAATCGATACGACAATTCCAAGACCGAAAGCAATTTCAATTCCGCCGAGCTATTCGCTCGCAACATCGATCTATTACGTACGGCCATTTCTTAATAGATATTGCGCAAGTATGATTTAAGAATATTCCTTTCTCTCTCACCCATTCACTCTAACTATTATAAAATTTCTTCTGCTGTATCTTATACATCTTTTAGCTAAAACATATTCAAGAAATTGAATACTTATTTCGAGGATAATAATATGATTTTAAGACGTTTATTTAACGTTACGTTGATATAATTAATATTTCATGATTCGTGAGTAAAATTCATAAAGAGAAATGAATGAAATTAGGTTTGGATTATAGATGGCGATAAATTGCGCAAAACGTGAAGGTTATCGATCATCTTTGCGATATTTTAAATCTAACTAATCCCAATGTCAAGTTTTTAAATTCAACATTATACTGGATCTTATTACCTAACATTGGGAGGGGGGGTTTATAGTTTTTGCATGTGTACCACATTTGCATATTTCATTCAAATTACTTCGAAACCTGCCCCACTTGAATTTTAAATGATCGGTAATGTAAACCTTGATCGGTAGATACAGATTAAAATTTAACCGGTCCCCCTTTTGATCTTTTTATCGGAAAATGAAGAAACATGTCTATTGCATCGTCGTGTCATTTAAAAATAAAAAGTCCCGTTGATCTGCTAGTCGTATTATACATAGCTGAAAATAAAATAAAATTTCAGCTTTCACTGAGTCTTTTCCTCTCTCTCTCTCTCTCTCTCTCTCTCTCTCTCTCTCTCTCTCTCTCTATTTCGGCATTTTATTCGGATTTGAAAGCATTATAAAATATTAGTAGCAATAATATATTAGATATTAAATATATATGAGGAGAGAAGAAACCATTCGATTATTTTCGACGCGTTTAAGATACAATCGATTTTCACAAATTGTCATTTTTCTGAACGTCGCTCCTCTTTTTCCAGATCGTCCATTTCTACCGTAGATAATATTGGATCACTACTATATACGACCGCCAATGTTTCTCGCATACTCAGCAAGGTAGAACGAAGTTCGTCGTTAGCCTGTAAGGTATCGACACTGCGACGTCCGAGAGAACGCCGTAAAATCGCCCTGCCTCAGACTGCCACTTCAGCTTCACCGCAAGAGGCGATCAATCCGCAGGCTCACAGACTTAAATTCAACTTATATCGATAGCTATCTTTATTGGAAAAAGGTCGATCTTGAAGTCATTCATTTGTTGTAATTGGAAAAATAGTGAGCTGCATTGTGTAAGTAAAACGATAATCATGGGATCTTTTCAAATACCTGATTCTTCTGAGCTCGATGTCTCTATTGAATTGTAAAGTAAAAAATCTTTAAGAAAAAGTGCTCTTCCCCGAATTTACCTACGCATTAGTATGAATCGAAGCAGCCTACTTAGTTGTCATTTCCGTTGCACACGGGTGCGATCGCTTTTAGCCGCTCTTCCAGATGATGAAAATAACATCGGCCGCGTTCGTACGTCAACATTCGCTCCGTTTCTCGTTTTAATTTGCGAATGTTGATCAGCCGGTCATCCCGGCGCCCCCGCGTATTTTTCGTGCGCCCGCTGCGCGCACTCGCCTCGCGAGTATGATATACGAAATTGAAGCGTCACATAAAACAGATTAAGCTGACGTATAATGAAAGAGCAATTATCATTCGCGCGCGCATTCCGCTTATTTTATCATCGCATGTCCCGCCATACGTATCTCATGCGCGCCTGTTAACTCCGTACACCATCGCAATAAGCGTCAACGTGTCGTCATATTAAAAAATTAATCGGCCCGGTACGCGCTCGTTTCGACGGGGAATTGACCTCGGCCGGAGAAAAGAATGACTCGACAGCGCGAGTACTCTCGCCGAAGATGTTCGTGATTTCTTTCTCGCTCTCCGACCCGAGTATTACATCTTCGCGAAGACACCCAGCCGATAAGCCCCCCCTCTCCATTGTCCTTTTTCCGTTCGTTCAAAATAACGATTCGGCACAACCGCATTCTTATCGGCTCACTCTCACATCTCATGTTTCCTATTCCAGCGGCTGTTGTCATATTCTCTTGTATTAGGTGTACAAATTAATTCTCGGCCTTTTTTGACCAACTTTGATATTTATTTAAAAAACATAAATATAAACTCAATCTTCAAAGTAATCTCCTTCGTTTTCTATACATTTTTGCCATCTCTCAGGCAATTGTCGGATTCCAGGTCGGAAAAATGATGGTGATTTTAATTCAGTGAATTCATCGAGGCTTTTTTCGGTCTGTTCAACTGACTTGAATTGAGAATCAGTTAGGTGGTGCTGTAAGGATCGAAGTAAGTGGTAGTCCGAAGGGGCCAAGTATGAAGAATACGCCGCATGAGGGAGAATTTCCCAGCCTAAATCTGAAATGGTTTCTTTTTCGCTATGTAGGGCCGGGCATTATCCTGCAGCAGTATCACCGTCTTTCTCCCACTGCCGGTAAACGGTCTTTTTTCTTCAAGTGCGTCATTCACGCGGATCATCTGTTGTTGGTAGGTTGAAATTTCCCTCTCGAAACTGTTGGAACCATTTTTTCCAACACGTGCTGTACACGATACAGCGTTTTCAAACTGAAAAAATCATTTCTTTCGCCGCGTTTTTTTTAAGTTGAAATGCGAAAAAGAGACAGCGCCTCAAATGTTGTTTTTCGAATGACATCACGTCTACAACTGATTTTTCAGGTTATGTTCACAGTAGGATCAAGTATTATACCTCAAAGCTTTATACCTTTAGCTTTATACCTCAAAGTATTATACCTTAAAGCT